AAAAAAAAAAAAAAAAAAAAAAAAAAAAAAAGGAATCAATTCATTATGTAAGTTACAAATTTAGGCATACAGATTGAGCATCCCTAATCCAAAAACCCAAAATCTGAAATACTTACTGGTCCCAACCATTTTGAATAAGGGATACTCAAACTATATTACTCTCCTAAAATGAGGCTTACCTGAGGAAAGGAAATAATTCCCTGCTATCTAGAGTTAATTTCTCAAAATAACCAGTAAAGTATTTAACATGTAAATAGCTGCAGAATACCTAGTAGATACCATTAATCTACACTGATGGACCTTATTTGTAAACCACTCTTTAACACATGAAAACTCCATACTGATAAGAACAGACTGTCCCCATCTTAAAAGCAGAGCATGTTCCACAAGTCCAGGTATAAAGTGGTTGTTTGGGATAGGGAATCGCTGCACAGGTTATCAATCCTGGTCAGGGCCCAGACCCTGCTCAGGGCAGTTAAAGCCTTCTTGTAGTTCTGATAAGCAATCGTTGACAAAAGTGAGTTTGTTTCTCTCACAGAATATTAAGTATTTTCATAGTCTTATAATCATAACCACACCAGAGAAAGACATAATGGGAAAGAACAAGAAAGAAAATAAAAATAAAACAAAAATGTAAAGACAGAGGACATTCAAGGCCCAAGGCGTCACCTCCAGACACAATGGCGCCTTCTCCAGGATGCTGGGTCCAAGCCTCTCTGGTTTCTATGTCTTCAGTCTGAATGTCTCTTTCAACATTATCTTCATTATACTGAACATATGCCTTAAAAACAAAGGTATGGAGAATTAACATTTGATAATAAAAACAATTATAATTTTTAAAAGGTTAACACAAGTCTTTTTCCTTGTGTCAAAATCAGTATTATCATATAAATAATGATAACACAAAGGTTGCTTGTGTCTCAAATATTTGATAAACACAGGCCTAATTTCCAAAAAGTTTCCAAAATCACATCCAACAATTTAGCTTTGGTTTGGAAGCACTGCCTCCTAGCCCACCCACATGCTATTCTCACAAAACATATTGGCACTGCAAAACCAATATAATTTTTTTTATTTCAAAAAGGTACCGTAACAGTGTGTGTCCGCATGTCGCCCCAAAGCCTCACGCAGTCACGGGCGCAGGCTTCTGGAGTTTATGACTGATTCATGGCCCAGTGCTGGGGTTACGGGTGTGAGTGCTACACCTGTCCTGGGGCGGGTAGTTTTCATACAATATAAGGGAAGGAAAGAGGCTTGCTATTCCCTCTGCTGCTCCTCCATTTGGCTCTTGCTGCTTGTGCTGTTTTCCGCCGCCTTGAACGGTTGCCCTGTGCCATGTGCCACTCTGCCTTGGAGCCAGCCAAGTATGGACTGAAACCTCCACAAACTGTGAGCTAAATAAACCTTTTCTTCCTTAATTCTGGCCATCAGGTATTTTGTCTCAGCAACGAGAGAAAAGTAAGCAAGACAGCTACACACTTGAGTGAAGACAGTGTTGTTACCAATACCTGGTGAGATGAGGAAATCAAGGAAAAAGTTAGGTGGTCTACCCAAGGTCAGAGTGAGTTGCATGCAGACTGTTAAACCTGCCAGCTTCCCTAGGTCCATGCTGCGACCCTCCTTCTATTAACAAGGGTTGCTGAGGAGATAATGTGAGATTCATGGCCCCACTATCATGAACATATGAAAACAGAAGATATGATATCTGACTTCAAACACTTTATACCAGGCTGGGGATACAGCTCTGTGGTGTACTGGCCTACCATGCACAAGGCCCTGGCTTCAATCTTCAGCCCTTAAAAAAAAAACTTTATTCCCTTGTTATGAACTTACACTAATCTCACAACTATTGACTGGCAGTACTATGAGGAAATACAAAACTGCATGGGATAGAGTTAGCAACTTTGGAAAAGGAGAGAAAACTCAGCATAAGTCATCAGGGAAAGGGTCTTGGTCCTAGAGAACAGGCCTTGGACATGGAAATATATCAGGCAGATGGGGTCGAGGGAAGGAGGGCAGCATAAACAAGACACGGAGCAGCCTGGCCCAGTGACAGACCAGGAATGAGGGTTCTGCAGAATCAGAGAGGACAAAGTATCACACTGAAAGCACAGGAATTATCCCCTCAAAGATACTTGGCTTATAAATATTTCATACAGACAAGTATGATTCCTCCTTACTCACCCGGAATCTGAGAACCAAATCCAATCTGGACATTGTAGCTTTAAACAAAACATCTGCACCATGTAAAGCTGTACTGAAAGTAGGAACTGCTGCCCCACTGCCTGTAACTGCTGCACAGGAATCATCAATTCACCCTCCTCACAGTTTTTGGGAAACCTTCCGACTGTCTTCACATAATCCCTCCAGCTAATGAGCACCATGTGATGAAGGATTGCCTTTTCCTTAAACTGACTCCACAGAACATTCCCAAACATTTATATTTTAGAACAAGATCCATGGACGCACAAACTGACACTTGCATTTTGTTAACAAGTGAATACACCTTATACTAACCTGCTTGGTATTTTTCTTCCCAAAGTTTCTGATATACATGTCATATTCATTAACTGGTGGTAAATCCAAGAGAGAGAAAGTGAATGAAAAATCCAAGTCAATAAGCCGAAGTAGTGTTGTACTTCTTGACCTTTAAAATAAATTGAAAATGAGACAAAAGTTAAATTGAGTAGCATACACAGGGAGGTGCAGGGGGATGGGAGAAATCATACAGAGGTTATCAGCAAAGACTTTTGTGTGGGTGTGAGCCGGAGGCACTTAGCAGTTGTTAAAAATAACTACGTAAAAACCAGTCACACAAGGATCAAGGATGGGAATACATCATGAACCAAATGTGTGATAAGCCAGTTCAGCACACCCGAGGTCCACAGAAATAGTTATGATGTGTGTTTGCCTGGCAGATACTTTGCTACAGGAGTTGCTCTCTGGATAGAAGAATGACATATTTGTCACATCAGCCAGTGTTATGGTTTGTGTCTAGACGTCCCCACAAAGCTTCATGTATTCATGGGGGTGGCTTTTCAGAGGTGCCTGGATCTAGAGTTTGTGATTGACTGATGGTCCAATGTTGGGATTAAGGGTGTGAGTGCTACACCCGCCCTAGGGCGGGTAGCCTGCATACAGTATAAGGGACAGAAAGAGGCTTGTCACCTCTCTCCATTGTTGCTTTTGCTGTCTTTTGCAGCCATGAACTCTGCAGTTCCTCTGCCTTGGAGCCAGCCAATTATGGACTGAAACCTCTACAAACTGTGAGTTACATAAACCTTTCCTCCTTCAACTTTGGGTGTTGGTTATTTTGTTTCAGCAACAAGAAAAGTAACTAAGACAGCCAGGCAGTGGCAGGCTGCACAGCTGGACAGGTGTCCAGACCTCCCTGCCCTGGATACTGCTACAAACTTGTGCCACAGGACTCTGGTGTCCAGGTGGCACTTGACAGTGTAAATCGCCCACAGCCTCACAAACAGTTGCATCTGTTGGACTCCTCCTCCTTGAAGACTGCCCCTTCACGTGGGCTGGATTCTCCTTTTCTTCCAGACACCCTAACATTGATGCATCCAAGTTAATCTTCTGCTACCTTTCCTTGAACATAAGCTAGATGAGGGCAGAGACCTTTATTTCTTTCATTTATGTTCTTTCACACAGCTGGTGCACAACAACACAACCAGTGAATGAGTGAATGACCTCTGACATCCACAGCCTGACTTGCTCTCCCCTCTCGCTTCCTCCACCTTCCTCTGCTCATCATCTGCAGCTTTGTTTTACCAAAAACTGCAGCTTCTGTTATCTTTTTCTCTGGCCACCACCTCCTAACTTTCCAAGGTACTACCTCCAAAACCCTTCAGGCATGCGGCACCTACCAGTCCACTTTCTCTGGTCTGTCACACCCTCCTGAGTGTGAGACATGAGGTCCTTTTTTGCACACATGTACTTAACTGCTCCAGTGTCATGTACGGGAGACCACTCTTTCCTCAGATGTGCAGCGACAATGCAACTGGGGACCAAAGGGATCTAAGTATGCTCCTGGACTGCCTCTGTCAGGCCGGTCTGACTATCCTCACTCCAAGGACACAGTTCAGTTCTTGGACCTTTAAAACTCATTTTGACATTTGCGTTTAAGGCTTCTAACTATGTTTTCCTCTTGAATATGGTCTTCACCACGTGTAACCTTGACATTTTAGGATCAGCATTTCAGAATGTGTGAAGTCACACATACACACACCCTGCTGTGATTTAAAAAATGGAATGGCATTCACTCTATATAGTATTTATTTTATGAGAAACTGAGGTCCTGCCATATTAAGACTTCTGATTCATGAATATTTTATGGCACCTGTGTTAGTCAGTTTTCCATCTCTGAAACAAAGTACTTAATGCAAGGTAGAAACAACTTAAGGTAGAAAAATTATTTTGGCTCACAATCACAGAGATTCTGGTCGAGGTCACTTGGCCCCATTCCCTGGGCCCACGGGAGGCAGTACATCGCAGCAGAGAGCACGCAGCAGAAGACAGCTGCTCACTCATAGCAGACAGGAAGCAGAGAGAAAGACAGCAAGAGAGGAGGGACCAGCACAAGATACAGTGCCCACACATAAGCCATCAAGGACACACTCCTTCAACTGGCTCCCACCTCTGAGCTTCCATCACCTCCCAACAGACCATCAAATCATGAACCTGTCAATGGACAAATTCACAGCTGAAGGGGCTGCTAGGAAGTGGCCCACCTGGACGAAGTGGGTGAAGGGGGTGGCTTGGCCCTGGCCCTTCCTGTCTCTCTCTGCTCCTGGTGAACCACTCTGCTCCATCATACACTTTCCATCATGATATTCGGCCTCACCCTGATTCCTGCAGTACAAAGCTCTCAGGGCTTCTTGTGCTGTAGATGGCCACTGAGACACAAGGCAATACCAACCAGGCTTGCTCTGCCTGGGGGCCTTGCAGTCTCCAGATTTGTGAATGTGCAACTGTGGCTCCGCCCAAGCCCCAAAAAGGCTGTGGACCCACAGAGTGAGTCTTCAACAGCCAGCCATGAATTTAACCAGGAACATGGGCACCAAGCACCCAGTGCACAACAGCGCGTGTACTTGTACTATTAGCATAGCATCTCAACGGCAAGAGAAACGTAGCACAAGGTAAGGAATACACCTAAACAGGCAACAGGGAAAATGAGGTCCACAGCTCTGTCTTTAAAAGGGTGTTGAAGAAAAGCTTATTAACATTGTATCTTTGGCAAATTTCCCAAAATACCTACTTTTGCTTAAGAGCTTGAGTCCGACTCTTTTGACGGTGTGAGGCTGTTGCAAAATCCACAAAAATTCCACAAACAGGGGCCCTGGAAGGGGAACTGTTTGGATCTATACAAGAATATAAAACTATTTTTAGATATATTTGTGATAATGAAATATTTCAAGCAAAACAAAAATCCACAGTAAAACCATTAGAAGCATATACAACAATCAGGCTCAATAAGCTCTTTATTTGAAACTGATAACAATAAACATCTTTCATGGACAATTTAAGAGGCTGGCTCCTGCCACCTCGTCAGAAACCTTCAGGCAACAAAGCAAATTCTACTGATCATCTCTTTTTTCTTTTTTTTTTTGAGACAGGGTTTCACTATGTAGTTCAGGCTGGTCTTGAACTCACTTTGTAGCCCAGGCTGGCCTCGAACTCACAGTGATCTTCCTGCCTCAGCCTCCTGAGTGCATGTGCCATCATGCACATAGGCATGTGCCATCATGCCTGGCCTGATCATCTACCATATGTACCAATAACACTATTAAGAATTTGAAGCCAGGTATAGTGGCACATGCCAGTGATCTCAGCACTTGGGAGGCTGAGGAAAGAGAATCATGAATTTGAGGTCAGCCTGGGCTACATAACAAGTCTGAGGTGAGTCTGATATACATTGTGAGACCTTGTATCCCAAAAAAATTGTGAAAAATATTTAAGAACATATGTTGGCCACAGTCCTCTGTACCCATCCATTCTGCAAAATAAATGCAGTTCTCCCTTAATCATGGTTTCACTTTCTGAAGTTTTAGTTACCCACAGCTGACCGGGGTCTGAAGGCACTAAGGGGAAAATTCTAGGAATAAGTAATTGATCAGTTTTACACTGCATGTTATTCTGAGTAGCACGAGCTAAGTCCCACTGTCCCTCTTTCCAGTGTATCCACTACCCATGGGTTAGTCACTCAGCATCCCTCTCAGTTACCAGATCCACTGCTGCAGTCCTGCAAGGCTTATACTCAAGTGACCCTTCTTTTACTTAATAATGCCCTCAAGCACAAGGGTAATGGTGCTAGCCATCCAGTTGTGCCAACGAGAAGCAATAAAGTGCTTCCTTTAGTAAAAATTCTTGATTTAAGGAAAGACTATATGCTGAGCTTGCTAAGATCTACGGTAATGAAGAATCTTCTCTCCCGAAAATATGAAAGAGGAAAAATAAACTCACGCTACTTTTGCTGCTCTACATCAAGCAGCTGTACTTAGAGCCCCATGCATAACAGGGGTCTAGTTAAGGTAGAGAAGGCTTAAGTTTGTGAGTGGAAACACAGACAGAAAACACGTTCCAGCTGATAGCAACAACGGCAACATGTCGTGCCAGGAAGCATCGAGTCTGTGCAGAGACCTCAGAAGGGATCCCCTGAGACGAGGGCACATGCCCTCCTGTAGGGAGGGGTGGTTACAGAGACAGGGACAGATCTGGACTAAAAAATATAAATATCGCTGGGGAAGCCACATCTGCTGATGAAGACACTGCCACATTTCCAGCAGAGCTGAGGAAGCTGCCAAGGAGGAAAGGTACCATCCAACACAAGTCTTCAACTACAGTGAAACAGGGCTCTTCAGGGTGATGCTGCATGGAAAATATAAATTATGAAAATGCCCGGGAGCAGCAAGGCTCAGGATCTAGAGGGTCACATGGACTCTACATGGCAACACCACAGAGCATGGGATGAAGCCAGGCACCATGTACAGGTGGAGAAATCGCATGGCCTCAAAAACAGAAACCACTGAGCTGGGCGTGGTGGCGCATGCCTGTAATCCCAGCCCTTGGGAGGCTGAGGTAGGAGGATCATTGCGAATTTGAGACCAGCCTGAGCTACAAAGTGAGCTCAAGGCCAGCCTGAACTGCACAGTGAGACCCTGCTTCAAAAAGACAAAAAAAAAAAAAACAGAAACCACTGGCCTGTGTCAGTCTACACGTCAGAAAGTGCAGGCACAGCCACCTTGTATACGCAGGGTGTGGTACAGCCTCGGGTTTGGGCATGTACTGAGGGTCTTAGGTGCGCACTCAAAGATGAAGAAGGAAATACAAACCCGTTTAAAGAGTAGAAAGAAATGTAAATCACAACTGAATCAATCACTCACTACGTCACTTGTGCTGCTAACTGCACCACCTTTCTTATGGAATAAGCCAGTCCTCAATCCTCCCCTCTGCTCCAAAGGGTTGCTGCAGTTTGTATTTGTCCACATATTTTTACACAGTTACTGTAATTATACCTTAATCTGTCTTTCATTCCTTGTGGATCTGTATCTGAACTCACCAAGGGCAGAATAAGCAACTGTACCATCCCACAGTTTCACAACCTCCCAGAGCCCTTTCTCACATACATTATCTTGCTCCCTAAGGCCAGCAGTGCTGAGGGTGAGCTCAGGGGACACAGCCATCTGGGCTGGGAGACCTGCATTCAAGTCTCAGCATGTGAGGCCTGCACGATGCGAGGTCACTTCACCCCAGCACTTTTGTCTCCTGTGATCAGAACACCCACCATGCAGATTACGACAAGGACTAGAACAGGCCATGCTTTGGAAGATCAAAGTGCCAACCTGAAAGTGCCTTGAGAGATATATGTTCAAGATTTAAAATTAGGAATCTGGCAGACAGGTCTAAAGTCACAGGATTAAGATTCTAATAATGGAATTCCTGGGACAGAGTGGATACCTCCATGCCGAAGGCCAGCACTTGGTCAATACTCCCTCATCGACCTTGTGGACCATTTACCTCTAGAAGTGCATGAACACTTTAAAACACCACAGTTTAACCTGGTGCACTGCAAAAAGCTATTTATCAAGTGGGTCCTACTGCCTTGAAAAAGACAAGGTGTGCAGTTTATAACCAGATTAACCTCAGGGTGCAGCAGGGCATTCACACAAAATAACACCATGACAGCTGGAGGTGCCCAAGCAGGACACAGACTGTAAACACACTGAGCCACTTGATGGGAGAAATGAAACTGCAGTCATAGGCAACATCCTCAGAACTTAGAGTGTGCCTGGCATGCTTCTAAGCACTTTCTGTATATTAGTTTATTCAATTAACAACAACCTTAAAGAACTGCGTACTAGCCAGCAGGTGACAGGGCCAGGATTTGAAACTCCAGGATAAGGACTAAATGTTAGACACTACTTCCTCTGTCATCAGGAGCATGCTGCTTCCTCCCCATACATCAGCACTAGCTCAGCACAGAGGGCAGGCGGCAGCTCCGAGTAGGCGGCTGGGGGTCTGAGAGCGAATGTTGCTAACCTCTTCTGCTTAGGGTGGAGAGTGCTGATCCAGTAAGTCAGACATAGGCAGCTAGGCTGCTAAGCATCAGTGCAGGAGATGGGTAACTAAAAGGGTCACTACAGATCTGCTGAGAAAAGCAAAAGCAGGGCTGGGGATTTAGCTCAGCGGCAAAGC